GCTCACTTACATTGGTGACCATCAGGTCCAGTATTGCATCCTCTCGCATAGGGCTGTCTGTTACCTGGCTTAGGAAGTTATTCTCAGTGTATTCTAGGAATCTCCTGGATTGCCTACAGCTCGCCGTTTTGCTTTTCCAGCAAATGTTGGGGTAGTTGAAGTCCCCCAGTAGGACGAGAGTCTGCAAGTGTGAAGCCTCCTGGAGCTGGAGGAAGAAGGCTTCATCAGTAGGCTCCCCTTGATCAGGCAGTCTGTAGTAGACACCAACCATAAGGTTCCCTTTGTTGCCTCTGTCTCTGATTCATACCCATAAGCTTTCGACGGGCTCGTGGCTATTCTTCAGGGACTTCTTCACACTGTGTCGATTTCTTGATGTAGAAGGCAACACCTCCACCCCTCCTTCCTCGCCTGTCCCTTCTGAACAGCCTGTAGCCATGGATAGCCACATTCCAGTAATGGGATTTGTCCCACCAAGTTTCAGTTATGACAATCAGGTCATAGCTTTCTAGCAGCACAGTAGCTTCCAACTCCTCCTGTTTGTTCCCCATGCTGTGTGTGTTCGTGTAGAGGCATTTCATCTGGGCTGTTGGCTGTGTCACCTTCTTAGTGGAACACCCCTTGTTTCCCTTGAGGTGTTTCATGGAGGTTTCCTTGTTGGCTCCTACTACCTCAGGACCCCCAGCTCATCTCCGCAAGACTTTGACTGTGCTGCAGCATCCCTAGCACGCCTCTTCGCAACAGGTTGAGGGCTCATAGTAGCACCTTGTCCCTCTAACCATTGTGTACCATCCCACAGCTTGTCACAGGCAAGCCTGGTATGTTCCCTGTATTTATGTATCTGACGTGTTGGTTAATGATACGGCATGATCTTCAGCTTCTTGGTGTTGACCAAGAAACAATATTATCTGTTGAATACTTTGTATCTATAAAAAGGAAATGTCAAATTAAAAAGAAAAAGAAGTGGAATACATTGAAAATGAGAAATCCATGGGGTGTTTTAGTACTTTGGTAGTCTTCTGTGGGCTGTGTAAAACTCATTGTTCTTTTCATTGAGATGCTGATAAGGTTATACAAACAGTGATGGGTTGACAGCTAGTGAAGTCAGTAAATGGAAAGATGGTTTTCCCTTCAAAGAAGGAAAATGCCCATTTCTTTGTAGCAGAGCCTTTTTCTGCATAATTCTGTTTAAGCATGGATGGTTAGATTTTTATTTACAGTTGATCAGATATTGAAATTCCTTATTTTGTACTCTCCAAAACAATTTTTACATGTGGTTTTACTTAATGCCCATCTCATTTGTTTTTCATTTCTTCCTTTCTTTTTTTGAGGAAGGATAGAAAGTATCTAGCTGTCTGTAAATACATGCAAAATAGAAATTTTCCAAAAAGATGTGTGTCCTCCCCCCTTTTCATCACTTTCATATCTGAGAGATTATTTGAATTATTCTCAAATGTATTAAATCTTCTTGCAAAGGAAAAGAAGAGTACTATTTCCATTAAGTAAATGGTGTTTAGAAGTTGCTTACAGGGACATTTCATCATGTATGGTGTAGCTCTTGATTTGCATGGAAAATATGACAAGGTAATTTGTAAGATAGAACATTTTTCGGTTCCATTTATATATGTGTATAAATGCGTTGTATACCTACAATATATAAGGATTAGGAACAGCAATTACTGCTGGAGGGAAGGTGAAGAAATTTTTCTTGAGGGGGGAGAGACAGAATGAAGGTATACTTCACTCATAACTTCAGATGCTTTCTGACTGTGGAAATAAATGTATCTGCCATGAAACTTTGCATTTATAAAAGCACAGCAAATACCGTAATAATTTCAAATCCAGTCTGTCAGGCATTCTCTGCATTTCTTAACTGAGGCAGTCCAAACTGTACATACTTTTAAAGTTAATATGTATTAAAGATACCATTCCCTTGATTAATTGCCTTATTGTAAATATTAAGAACAAGAAGTGTTTGGTTACCATCTATCGTTTTTTCATTATAGGCAATTGAGACTGCTCTGGACTGTTTGAAGAGTGCTAACACGGAACCATATTATCGGAGGCAAGCGTGGGAAGTAATCAAGTGTTTTTTAGTAGCTATGATGAGCCTGGATGATAATAAACACGCATTATACCAACTTCTTGCACATCCCAAGTATGACAATTCTTTAAAAATAAATGTGTATGTAAAATTTATAGCGTCTTTAGAACAACTAATTTAGAGACAATGGTTAGTCTAGGCAATGTATTCTTCATGGGATTTTTACCTACTGGTTTATCCTGCTTCCTTTTAAATCAATGCAGGACTTTCCAGTAAGAGGAGTTTTGTCAGCATATTATTTAATCCTGATGACATGTGTTAATGTATCATACTTTAATTTTCTTCCCCTAATCACAGTCCAATGTATAATCTGTTACATATGATCAGACTTTATTTTAATTAATTTATTTTTAATATATTTAAATAGTTGGAATATTCTGGTGCTTAATTGTGTTTTAAAGATTAATTTAGATTGTGATATTTTGTGTGTGCATCTAACTTTTTACTAAAGTGAAAGAGAGATAAAATTCAGTTTCATTTAGTGACCAAACTGTAGCATAGTCACACACATAACCTGTTTGTCTTAGTGTAGGGGCTTTTTATTGATTTTATTTATTTATTTTTTAACACATTTTACAGTTTTAGTCATTGATACTTAATGAGTTCATTGCTTTTAGACAACTTTGACATCTTTGCCTACAAAGTGTGTGTTGGCTTCGACTCTTGCAGTGTAGTAAATGTAGCTAAAGAGTACAGTAGCTTTTAAAATTCGGACTTGTTAGACTTGACGTAAGTATAGCTGTGCAAGGAGTAGGTTTTGTTGGGCAGTGATTTGATAAATAATGTTTCAGTCTTTTGAGATTAAAATCAAATGTCATTTCAAAAAGGGAAAAATGTCAAAATACTGAAAATGACATTCTGTAATTGAGTTGCAGTGTAATGCCTGTGTACCTACTATTTGTAATATACGTGGCTTCTTCTGAACCACCAGCTTTAAATGTTCCTGATGAAATTGAGCTATCCATCATGTCTGAGACCAGTGGTTGACAAAATTAATATGGACTGAGTGAACTGGTCTAGCTCTATCAAAATGAGGGGACAACAGGAGGTGGAGAAGGAGTTAGATATCGAGAGCAAACTTTAAATCAAGTACTTGACAATGCTCATGATTGAGCTGCCCGTACTGCAGTTTAGGATCATAATGAACTTAATTTTGTCTTTCAGTTTTACTGAGAAGTCCATACCCAGTGTGATTATTTCACATCGATACAAAGCTCAGGATACTCCAGCTCGTAAAACATTTGAACAGGCATTGACAGGGGCATTCATGTCAGCAGTCATCAAAGATCTGAGGCCTAGTGCTCTGCCTTTTGTAGCCAGCTTAATCCGCCATTACACAATGGTGGCAGTTGCTCAGCAATGTGGTAAGTAAAGCGGAATAGCAATTGTGTGGACTGTCATGAGAGGGGTGAAGAAGTTTATATTTTTTCTAATAGTAATTTGTTTTAAGAAAGTCATGATATTACAGTTGCTTCTGGATAGATATGTTGGGTTTTTTTTGATGGCTGAATGACGTTTTAATTCTTTTGAGCAGTGAAAAATTATTAAGCGAGTTTTAAAAAACAATCAGTCAATAATACTTTTAAAATGCTACGGCCAATGAAATAGTTACAGCTTGGTACAGTTTATACTTCCAGAGCATTTGTGTAACTTGATATACACAGTTATTTTTGTGGGTGGTCTTTAATTGAGTTGTTTCCACTTGTGGTTTTGAAGGACCATCAAAGGAACTAAGTAAATGTTAGAGCACTGCAGTGTCTTTATCTATGAAGAAAACTTTTTGTTTGGAGTTGGACTGTATGACAAGGAATTTGGGAAAAGACATACTATAAGCATATCACTCTTCATTGTCACATTAATGTAACTTGAATTGTTATGATTCTTCCTTTTAATTAAATCTTCTTGCAGTGCATAGTCTAGTGCATAGCAGAAAATATTCAAGTGGATGTAATCTTTTTTCTTCTAAGAGTGAAGAATGCCTTACAATCCATTTATATGCAAATAGACACAGTGCTTACTAGTTTTGCCATCAGCTAGTCAGAGGAGTAGTAAAATCTAATTGAGAGACTATTCATATCAAAATATCCATTGTTTTATCTTTTTTTTCCCCCTGCCTCTCTCTTTTCTTCCTCAATACAAATTACAGGTCCTTTTTTGCTGCAGTGCTATCAGGTTGGAAGCCAGCCTAGCACAGCCATGTTTCATAGTGAAGAAAATGGGTCAAAAGGCATGGATCCCTTGGTGCTTATTGATGCTATCGCAATCTGCATGGCATATGAGGAGAAGGAACTCTGCAAAATAGGAGAGGTGGCTCTAGCAGTGATATTTGATGTTGCGAGCATTATCTTGGGTTCAAAGGAAAGGGTAATATATATACTTTTTTTTTTTAATGTATTTAAATGATTTAGTTTCAGCCAATGCTTCTAAAATTTTGGAGGCTACCAGTGAGCTGAAAAAGCAAACCGATTCGTTTCTTTGTTTCCAGGCTTGTCAGCTTCCCTTGTTTTCATACATTGTGGAACGTTTATGTGCTTGCTGTTATGAGCAAGCATGGTATGCTAAACTAGGAGGTGTTGTGTCAATTAAATTTCTTATGGAACGACTGCCACTAATTTGGGTCCTCCAGAACCAGCAGACTTTCCTGAAGGCACTTCTCTTTGTTATGATGGATCTAACTGGAGAGGTATGTAATAAATGAATTACATCAACTAGTGTGGGGGAAACAAACTTTTGTTCTTAAATTCACACAAATTGAACTCTTGATAATCTTGATTTTTGCTTAATTTTGGAATGTATCATATCTGCAATAGTTACGAGTGAATTTTAGTCATTTTAACTTAAAACAAGACCTGAAGTTTAGGAATGAGGTCTGTTTTTTCTACAGAACTTTTCCAAAGTTGTTGGAATGACACTTGCTTCTTTCAGAGTAGAAATGTACAGGTTGTGTTCATATCAGTGAAAGAATGCTAGATTCACTTGCATGAAAAACACTGGGTTTTTTCCTTCTTTCTGTGTTTAGTTTGAACGATGTTCATCTTATCAAAAAGCTGTATATAGTTACAGATACCTAGAAAATCAGCTGCTTGACCTTTTCTCAATTGTGAATCATATGGTGATAACATTGCTAAGGGTTCCAGCGCTTGAGTTTGTTTATAAAATTGTGTTGCATTGCAACTCATGGTTTTGGAATGATTGGTGGGAAGACTAGTTGAATATGTGTTCTGTTTAAGCTTTATATGTTTTTAGCCATTTGCCAAGGATTCATCAAAATAAAATGCTAAGTTTGTTGATGACTAGTGTGTAGATTTCTGGTGTTTGTTCTGTACTTAATTAATAAAAATAATCTGTAATACCTTAGGTTTCTAATGGAGCAGTTGCTATGGCAAAGACCACATTAGAACAGCTTTTGATTAGATGTGCAACTCCTTTAAAAGATGAAGAAAAAACAGAAGAAATCCTAGCAGCACAAGAAAAGTCTTTCCATCATGTAACACATGACCTTGTTCGAGAAGTAACCTCTCCAAACTCTACTGTGAGAAAACAGGCCATGCATTCGTTGCAGGTACTTGCACAGGTCACTGGAAAAAGCGTCACAGTGATTATGGAGCCACATAAAGAGGTAAGCAGAAATACTTACTGAAAGTGAGTTTAAAGTTGGATTTGCAAAATGCTTTTCTGAGTACATTTTCCCACACTAGTGAATTAAGTTCTTAGTGCTTTGATAGCATATGTTTGTCATTTGCTAGGTTTCATTGTTCTAAAATGTGGCTGAAGTACTATAGAGATTCATACAAGCTGTTCCTGACTACTTAGCCAGTATTTATACTGTCTTCAGGTTGATTTACTTCCTGAAATTACGGACTGCTTGTCCTACAACCAGACATAGGCTAGGCCAGGTAGATACTGCATTTTGAACCTCAATTTTGTGTTATTCTCTAAATATGAGACATATTGCTATGCCTCTCCCTATCCAGAAAGAGACTGTGGAGATCGAAGCTGGTTGAAAGAACTTTTTGCTAGATACTCCTTAAGGCTAATAGCATTCATTCTCTTGAAAGACAAGTAAACGTACATAAGCCCTAAGGGCCACCACAACATATGAAATTATAGATGTCATTATTGTGGTTCGGGAACATACAGAGAAGCCCCCTAATTGATACCTTATTTTGTGAAAGGTGTTTGTGGAGGAGAGTGAGAAGTTGGTATAATGGAAAAACCTTACATGAATGTTTTTGCTTTTCTAATGTTTTAGGAGCTTAAAATACTCTTGTTTCTTGACTTGAACATTTGAAATGCTCAAGTCTGTGAATTTCATTGTTGTTTATAATGTTATGTGAAGTTATTAAATATCATAGATCTGTTCACTGAGAATATGTAATAATTGCAGATACTGAGTTGTTTTGCTAGCTGACTGTGAATTAGTTCAGAGAAATACTTTTCTTCTTGCTTAGTGACTTCTAAAGAGGTTCATTTGGAGCCACAACAGCAAACGGATAGAAACATGCAGCCATGACTAATGATGTCTTCTTAGTGGCTAGGTCTGTGGGGTCGTTTGAATAAGCTGCTAATTCAGTAATCTAAATTACATTGTGTAGGTTCTCCAAGACATGGTTCCTCCTAAAAAGCATTTACTTAGGCATCAACCTGCAAATGCCCAGATTGGCCTGATGGAGGGAAATACATTTTGTACAACCCTGCAACCCCGACTGTTTACAATGGATCTAAATGTTGTGGAACACAAGGTTTTCTACACAGAGGTACTTTCTTTGTATGTTCTTATATTTGAACGTAGATACTTAAGTAGTGATGGTGTTAGGACTTTCATTGTTAAAAATACATATTTTCTTTGTGCATTTTAAACTTTCACCAAAATATAAGAATTTACCTTTTGAAACATGAACTGGGGTCTGTCTTTACCTACAATGTAATAGCTCTGAGCTAAGCAGAATATTCTAATGTGTGTGAAATATATAAAATGAACTTTGGTGTTATACTCCTAGCCTTGTAGCACTAACTTTCATATTTAGGTCTTATTTTATGCACAATATATCTATTAAATAAATTGTTGTACCGCCAAAACATAGATATTGTTTGTTAAGGTTTTTGAGTCCCTAACAGTGTGGGTAAAATCAGATATAAAACTAGTGTGTAGATTTAACTTAGAGAAACTGTCTAGTCCCTTGGTTTCCTATCTGTCTCTTCCAAACATAAGTTCGGAAGGTCTTTGATACCAACAGTAATGGCAGTTAGCAAGGTAGTTATGGGGTATAGTTGTCAATGCGGAGGATCCTCTGGTTTTTCCTTAAGACAAACCCAAAGTGCTGCAGATCAAAAAACGTCTGTAAAGGTGAGAGTGATATATTGGTATTGTGAAGGTCTGAATCGTAATAGTATTCTTGGATATAGGTGCAACCTGGACATTGTTAACTTGCATAACTTTGTTTCAACCCGTTCAGGGTTTTCTAACAAAAAATATATACATATATTGAAAATACTTGACTGTAAAGAGGAGAGCTCTGTAGGAAAGAATTGTCTCTCTGGGCACTGACCCGTGACCGTTAGAATTACTGAAGACATTTTCAGCACATTTTTTCCCTGTTAATCTCCTGCTGTTCTCTTACCCCTTTCCTCAGTATTTTCTGTGCTCTTACTGCCATTCAGGAGGCAAACTTTTCTGTAGACCTATTGTTTTATCATATGAGCAGCCTGTTTGCAAGACCAGCTAGGTATTGGCCAACAAAATGCAAAATGGCTAACTTTCGCCTGACTTTTCTTTGGTGGCAATGCTAATGGGCTCTCTTGCCTCTGGCTAACCACCGATTTTCATGGGAACTTACACTCTTAATTCTGAGTAGAATTTTTGCGTGTTCGTGAAATTTGGAGATTGATTAGTGTGTTTGCATAAGCTTGACTCTTTGAGGAAACAAGACTCAAAAGGTAACTGGTAATACTGTTTCAAATGTGATTCACAATGCTATGCTAAAATGTTTGTTTATTTTTTTCCCCTAGTTACTGAATTTGTGTGAGGCTGAAGATGCTGCCTTGATGAAACTACCTTGTTACAAAAGTCTTCCATCACTTGTACCTCTGCGGATTGCAGCCTTAAGTAAGTAAAACTTCCTAAACAGGATTTGATGTAGATAAGCATCCTTGTGAGCAATGACAGTCTTCTTCCCAAGATCAGCAGAAAACGTGGGTGCTTGAAGACGGATGACTGCTCGCTAGAGGTCGCAGTTTAATGGAGAATAATGGGAAAGTATCGCTGCTTTCTTAATGACTAGGATATAGTTTGTGAAACGAATGCAAAATATTTTTAGACTAATTATGTTACATAGCATTAGGAAAACTTTAGAACACTATTAATAGAATTTCCATTCTTTTACTATTTTATGATGCCTGTTGCTTTTGGCAGAGCATGCTACGTTTTAGCTGTCTGTAATTTAAGATGAAATAAAAGAAACTTGAAGAGAAGAAACGTAGAATTAGGGTTTTTTTCCTTCTCTTTTGAAATTGAGTTAACAAAGAGAACAAATTTACTTTGATATTTGCAGATGCTCTAGCTGCCTGCAATTACTTGCCTCAGTCGAGAGAGAAAATCATTGCTGCACTTTTCAAGGCACTTAATTCAACAAATAATGAACTGCAGGAGGCAGGAGAAGCATGCATGAGAAAGGTTAGTATATTAAAACAATGTTGCTTTTGAGGCCATTGTTCTCTGTGCTTTACTTCCTTGTTACAAAGCTTCTTGGGAAAGTTCTCTACAGGAAATAATGGCTGCTCTGTTAAGTTTTTGTTGACACCAATATAGTTAAGTTTCTGTCAGATGTGGTTTTTTGGGGGTTTGAACTAGGCCATAAAAATTTCTTCTGGCTGAAATTAAGCGTTATAAGCTCTTGGACAAGGACCGTGGTAAGTCTTTCAGTCTTTCTGTCTGTTGGGTCTTTCAGTCTTTCTGCTTGTCTGGTCTTTGTAAGTGTATCTTCTTTTCTAAATAAACAGTGTCAGTCCTTCCCAGCAGTTTCGCAAATGTGCATGCGTGGCTTTATTGTAAGAGCTTTTCTCCTGTTTCTTCTTTGTTCCTAAAAGAAGTGGTAGAGACCCCATATTTGGTTTTGGAAAAGTAAGCGATACAGCAGAGTTAGATGCTGCATCACAGAACGACAGTTACCTTAAGGAACAGGGCTGTGGCTGTGCTCTTTAAGGACAGAATTACTGTCCTTACATGGTGCAACACTACACTGTCTGTTCTGTGGATGCTAGGTCTTAGTGTAAAAAAGCTAGAAGGACAGGGAAAAGGATATTCTGTCATCATGATTTCTTGCCCAGTAGATATGCCTAATTCTGATTCAGCAAGATTTTAATACCATTCTTCTAAATATAAAAAACGATAACAAAAATGCTTACAGTTTCTTTGTAATGATGTGTAGATAGGCTGGCATATAACAGGGAATATAACTACAGTAGTACTGGCGGTTTACATTTGTTTAGGCCATTGACTGATCAGAGGGAAGACATTGTCTTTTCATGTCACTCTGGTCATGAAAGGGAGTGTACTTATTTATGGCTTGCTGCCAGTACAGTTGGGTTGAGAGGTAAGAGGGAGCAAATAAGGGTTGTTCTGACCTATGCATCTGGTATAAGATTTTTCTGATTGTTTTTTCCTGTGATAAATCCATGCCCACAGGATATTTGGTTATGACAAGAAATATTATCTCTGGCTGCTTGCAGCCAGGTTCTCTTGACTTTTTATGTTACTTGGGATGCATGCAGCTTGTAACACAGAAATACACTCTATTGCCTTCGGCCAGATTCACAGGCAGTTCTTAATAAAGCATTGTCTAAGTAGTTTGTCCATAGCTGTATATTTAATTTGTAGCTGTAGCTGGTTTTCAATACATCTGTAATTAAGATCTCCTACTTGATTATTTTGTGGAATATCCTACTGTGTGTCACAAATACTTAAGTGCTTCCCAAATCCACCTTGTTACTGTATATTTCCAGCAATAAACATTGTTTAAGCTATTGTATTCTGAAAGTACAAAATAAAACAAGAAAAGTCAAGTCAGCAGAATTTATTTTAAGATGGGTGCTTGCACAAAAGTTGCTCCCCTCTCCACCTGTATCTTAATCCTGTACTCTCTTGCAGTTCTTGGAAGGAGCTACCATAGAAGTTGATCAAATTCATACACACATGAGACCATTGCTTATGATGTTGGGAGACTATCGAAGTCTGACACTGAATGTTGTGAATCGTCTGACATCTGTCACTAGACTTTTTCCAAACTCTTTTAATGATAAATTCTGTGATCAGATGATGGTAAGCAAGTTCAAGTTTTATTTAGCTCTTCCAGAAGAAATTCTCTTTTAGCTAATATTCGTATTGTTGAAAAGTCAAAGAACAATTAGTTTAGTAGTGACTCGATTGTATATATTGGAAGTAAAAGATTTTTGTTTCACAATAGGAAAAAAAAATCTTTAAACATTTTGTGTTAATTTTGAGAGAACTGCTAAACCAGAAAGTTAAGAGATGTTCTTCTCTAGTGAAGACATGCCTAGTTATGCTAAGGTCTGCTTGGACAACTTTATCTTTAAGCAAGGTGCCAGCAGCATAATATACTAAGGAAACCCTTGAAAATATGTTTTACTTCCTAGTGGGCTAAGTCTGTTCTGGTGTTTTCTTGATTTATAAAATGGTGGAAGGTATTGCCTTTCTTATTTGCAGTTTTTAAACTGCGTATGTGAATTCTTTATCCTTTTGCCATGTATATTTAAATATTTAAATGCGTATATATAGAATCATAGAATCATAGAATCGTCTAGGTTGGAAAAGACCTTTAAGATCATCCAGTCCAACCATTAACCTATATTACCAAAAATCATTAAAAAAGTGTAAGCCTGTCAGACTTCAGATTTTTGTGCCTTTTAATGTATGTACTCTTATAACCCCTGCTTTCTTGAATATAGAGAGGACTTCTAGGAACAGTAAACTCTTCAATCTGAGGGAATGAAAATAACTAATAATTTTTCCCTCTGTTTCCTTCAAACAATCATTTCTGCCTCTACTTCTTTTCTTGTAGCACACGCTGTCACTTGCTAAAATGGAACACTATAATTAGAAGAATAATACTAATTATTCTCTCTTTATAGCAACACCTGCGTAAATGGATGGAAGTGGTAGTTATTACACACAAAGGTGGACAACGGAGTGATGGAAATGTAAGTTAATGAATGCTTTTATGTGGGAAGACAAGAAATAAATAGTATTAATGTTTTGGAATTACAGAACTCATTCAGTTGTAAATGTTGCCATAACTGATAACATACTGATGTTTTGTTACAAGCTAATGAACTTGTATGTATATTGAATATTTGTTACAAATCTGAGTAAGAGGAGCTTCTTATCTGCCAACAACGGTTACTTTAAAGCCTATTCTATACAAGTTGGTGTGGGAACAGCTCATTGATTTTTATTTTTTTTTCTCAGGATTTTCTGCTTAGAAATCTGTTCTTCATTGGCGTGGCTGATGAGCTCAGCAGCATAATCCCTCTTTTTTCACTAATATGTTTGATGTTCATAACATACTATTCTGTATAATTTTCAAAAGACTAATAATATGCCAGTTAATTTCAAATATAATTTATGAAAAACAAATTCAATATTTACCAGTTGAGATCACATTAAAACCTCTCTCCCATCTAAACTAATGGCCTCAATGTTGAACTATGGGAAGCTGATCAATTTTCTTATAAATGGAAAATTACAGAGTGTAATGACAACACTGTGTGCTCTTAGTAATATGGCACTGAAGGGAATTCCTGCTTCAGTGTTGTTTCAAGTAGATTACCAGAAGTCCTATAATTCTATTAAGATTTTATTAATAACTTATATTAAGTGCTGAGATTTATTATTGCAACTAGGAAAAAATGGGGGGGAATTTTATTAATTTCTTTGGTTTTCAACTTAGAATGAAATTAGATTGGCTTTTTATTTCCCTCCAAACATGGAAATGGCTTAATGGCTTTTCATTATTCTTTCCTGTCACTGCAAAGAGACCTGCTAAATCTGAATTTAGTTATTGCTTTGTATTTGACCTAGAAGTTCTATAATGGAGTAGAATTTGTTTCTTATGTTTAAACTTAAAAACTGTGCATTTTTTAGTTAAACACATTTTACTCAGGTCAGAGTAGTTCTAAGGCCTTCATATTCTTCTTTTGGGATTCACTTTTCCTCAAATGTGATGATTACAGATATCTTGCAGATCTTTTTGTAGCATTAGTCTTTCAAACTACAATGTGGTACCTCTAGAACAGTTTTTAGTTGTCCCTAAATCACATTTAATTGTGAATTCTTCAGCTTTTAATGTCTTCTGTTGATGTTTTCTATGTAGTTGTGTGTTTAGTCTCCTAAACCTGTAATTTTTTTTTAGCGTTGGTTTAAAACCCGCGTATGTTGAGGGAGAGGTGCACACCAGACACTTGAGAAGGAGTCTACTGTCACGTCTTGAGGGAGGAGGGAAGTCTATGGAAACATTTTCAAATAGAATTGTGTGACTGCAAAGCTGATGGAAATATTACTCCCCCCCTAGTTGTTGCTCTGAAGTTTCCTTAAAAATAAAGCCTCTAGGAAACTGAAGGAGGGCACAGACAGTGTGGTCTTTATATAATTGCTATGGCAGTTCGCGTTCATATGTCCGTATGTACAGTGTGCTGTTGCTGTAATTGTATCTTCTAAATGTGGAAAAACTAGGATGGTGAAACTGGTGGTCAGAGTTACTCTAGCTGGCCTTTCATTTTACTCTGATTTCTTCTTGACCGTAAGTGAGTATCTCAGATTTTGGAATCTCACTAAAAGCAATGTTGGGGAGTGTTACTGGAGTAGGTTGCATCATTCAGACTGAGTGAGTGAGTGGTTAGATCTAGGAGGTGGTAAACACGCAGTGGAGAACGGAAATTGGTCAGGAAAGTCTTATGTTTGCTAGCTGAAACGGTATAGAGCACTGTTACAATAACTTTTTTGACCTAAAGAGTTTTCATCTTTTTCCAGCAGCACTTTATGAAGGTGCCATTTGATGCTGATGGTGTCATGCAGTTCTCCAGCTTAGTGCAGATAGTGGCTAGTCAGCGAGGCGTCTTAATGAAACAGTCCAAAAGTCTATGGAATGAGTTTTCATATGTAAATGGCAATTCTAGACAAACTAAAAACTTTAGACATCTCAATTAAAAATGCTGCGTAATACTTAACAACTGTTGTAAAGATCCACATTGATGCCAGAATAACTAAGCTCTTTGTTCATCTAAATAATTTTATGACAGTCCTACTGTATTGCTGAACTGTGACTTGGCTCTTTAGGTAAATGAACAAATTAAAACATAACATATTTAGTAGCAATTCAGATCTAACTCATTGGCCCAGTGAGCGAAATCTTTGGTCTAAATACCTTCTTCCGCTCT